GCATTAAGCAGCAATAGAGTCCAGTTTTGATGTCATGCCAAAACATACTTTTGATTACCATATTGTATATCTGGTTATAGAACCTTGTTCCTTTTCTGAATCAGTTATCTCCAAGAAGCGACTGTCTAAACATCCTGCACCAACTGAGAACCCTTATTCTAAGAAACCACAAATTCCCTCAGCTTCATACCTTTTCTCGTTTAAATCTTTAAGGAATCAATAATCTCTTCCCTTAACCTCCTCTCCAGAGATGTGTTAAAGAATGGATGATAAACATGTTGCTAATGATTTTGAGGTTGCAGTTGGTGGCAAGCATATGTAATATGATCCCTTTCTCCAAAGGAAATCTTTGAGGCCACCTCAGTACCTCTCCACAATGACACAAGTTGGCACCTCGCGGCGTTAACTTCAATCACAGCTATTGCATACTCTCCCAAGGATCCTGAGAAACCACAAGTGGCCATTCCACATTGTCTCTGGCAACAAGAAAAACAGTGAATGTGGATTCATATGCAGGAGCCATTATTGCAGTGTCCAGAAGTTCCAAAACTCAAATGGAGATACAGTGGTGCCTCACAAGACGAAAATTAATTCGTTCCGCGAGTTTTGTCGTCTTGCGATTTTTTTCGTCTTGCGAAGCACGGTGTCGGGAAAGTTTTGGAAAAGCTTCAAAAATCACCAAAGTCTTTAAAAACCTCAAAAAAGGCTACCACACCGTGTGCTATGAGTTGCTCCTCGAAGTCAAGTCGCAACTGTATTAACGGTGTTAAGAAAAAGGAAACAAACTTGCAAGACGTTTCCGTCTTGCGAAGCAAGCCCATAGGGAAAATCGTCTTGCGAAGCAGCTCAAAAAACAAAAAACCCTTTGTCTAGCGAGTTTTTTGTCTTGCGAGGCATTCGTCTTGCGAGGTACCACGTGTACTGGAAAGCAAAATGAAAAATGGGCAAGTGAATAAAAAGTTCATTGCCTGGAACGAGTTGTGAGGTGTGGTTGATGTTAAGATGGTGCATTTGCTGCCTTAATTCACTACTAAGTCCATGTGCAAACAGGAGTGGGCTGTGCTGGTCCGTGTCAGACGGCCACAGATCATTTTGAAGGAGGACAAAGATGAAAATGGCTGAGAACAAGCCAAGCCATTCAGACATCTCAACTCCCTTTCCCAAATACTTGCATCATCCTGAGGCCAGGAAATGAGTTTCATTAAGAGCTAAACTTGCAAGTGTTGCTTCTACCAAAGCTTCACTCATCAGCTTTCAGGGGTTATTCATATCTTATAATAGTCTCATGGCTTGCTTCCATGTTTTTAAGGGTGGGTTTGGGGACTGTGTCATCCTGAGAATGGAGGCAGAAACTCTCCCAAGCCAGCATTGGTTTCAGCAGGGAACTCTGACATACATAGTGCAGAAAGCTTGACTGTGCTTTGCAGCATAAAAAAACAACAAGAAAAAGTTGGGGTAGCAACCGTGAGTTAAAATTACTAATGCAGGGGGAGAGGAGAACCAACACTCCATTGTGAAGTACTTAAGCAGATGTGGGGTGTG